ACCCTCAGATAACATTCATAGCAGCTCATGCAACGTGAAAATCAATTCATATGCATGGCAGAAATAACAAATACTGAAAAGCTAATTAGAGAACAACATAGCTTCCAATGCCAGAAACGAAGCAAATTTAGATCTGAATTATATTTTAACAGGATGAGGTATCTGCTAGAAGAATCACTAGGAGATGTGGATTCTTCATTTAACCACTTCACATCAAAATCCAATGGTGCTCTACAAAAAAACACAAAAAAATCTCTCTCAAACTATGGACTGTTTTCTGCCTTGGGATTACAAAACATCTCAAGATGGTATCATGAATCAAATATGACTCATCAAGCCCACCAGAAGCTGCTGGCAACAGTAAATTTCTACTTGGCATCAACATAAACACTTGAAAGCAATAAATGCAGGCTAACTCCACTACTCCACCCTGGAGGGCTTTAGCTTTTCCCAATGTGGGAGTCAGAAGCGTCTACGGACGCAGCAGGAGGAGCAGTGGAAAAAGGTAATATGAAAGGAAAGCCACACTTCCAAAAAATACATGATGAAAGCCACATTAGACAAACAAGACAGGTAAATATAGTAATAGTCCAAAATAAATGCAGGTCAGGCCAGATCTGCTGTGTAATCCTGGCCTTAATAGGTTGAGTTTTAATAAGTTTTGTACTTTCAGGTTGCTGTTTCAGAGCACCACCTAAACACTTTGTAGAAAGGCTACCTACATCTGCTTGGCTGTAGATATATTGCAGTCCTTCTAAATGTGACAGAATAAATAGTGTCCCACTTTGCCTGTCTTTTCCATCTGTACATCTTATCTAAAGCCATACTTTTCCAAGCAGGAACCACACACAGTTAGTTCTCTCCAATACACAGTATGATCGAACAGCAGGCATCACAGGAGAAATACATTATATCAAAAAATATATTTTATGTGATGACAATGGGTGCATTGCAAATTTAAGCAATGCTATGCCAAAGAATGTCTGTTAATTATATTACAAAGTAAAATTAGGCAATGCAAATTTACTGAAAAAAATTCTTAATTATTTTGTTATTGCTGTGCTTGCCAGAATCACTTGCATAAAACATAAGAAACCAATTCAAAATTAATTTTGAGCAGAAACTTTCCTCTGTAATTGCAGAATAATCTTCAATAAGCAAGAGGGGGAAAAAAACACACACTTTAAACCACAGGAATTCTTAGTGAAATGGATGAAAGGATAATTAATAAGCACCACGCTAAATTTTGTTTTTAATGTATTGATACACACACAGAGCACAGCTACTTCATTTCAGATTCTGCAAGCCTCTCCTTAATTCTCAGTATCCTTTTAAAAAGGAAAACCACACCTGTAATGTTAAAAAAGTGATCAATCATACAAACTCTACTTTTATCCATTTAATCTAACCACTTTACCAAAACCCTGAAAAGACTCCATGAAAGTGTTCTTCCTTACTGCAGTAAGGTATTTAAATGGTTATCAATTCATCATATAATGACCAAAGCTAGACGCAAAAGGTTTTTTTCCCTTACAGGCAGGGAACACAGGCAATGCCTAAATGACCGTCCACAGATGCACCCACACAAAGAGCTGTTGTCTCATATTCCACTTCATATTTTTCACTGCTGAATGCACACGTGTTTTGGGACTTAGCATAAAAACAGTGAAATAATACCAGGACAATATATAAAGTATTTCTTTACTGACTGTCAGCAGACACCTGCCTGATTTAGCCTAGTCTCTTAAAAATAAAAAGCTTGCCTTAAGCCACTTTCAGAAAGTATCTTACACGCACAAAATAAATACTTCAGCAGTGATTTAAGCTAACCTGCTTGACTTTGAGGACTACTAATCCACTTCAGTACAGGCAGGTATCACCACATAGCTGAGAAGCGACACCACCTTAAATAACTTCTCAGCTTCCACTCGCCATGCAAAAACTTTAACTTCATAAAGACACAGCCTTGACAAATGTTATTTTAAGCCACTACTGAAATTTCTTGATTACAGAAATCTAAGGTCAAATTCATAAACGTAAGGGCATGCATGATGTGGGGCTGCAGAAAGCCTTCCAACACCATGCAGACTTGAGACTAACCTGACCACACAAGCAGGTACAGTATCACTGAACTGGTGTACCTAAAGGGTAGTGATACCAAGAGATCACTTCACAGCAGCTGCCAAATACCTTCACTGACAACAGACTATGACAATAAAAAGCAATTGATTAACAACATACAATCAGTTATCAACAGGAGAAAAGAAGATGTTTAAATGCTGTGGAAGAGAAAAAAGTGTACAACTATTTCCTACAACCTGAAATCTGGTAGGCCTCCATAAGTCCACCACATTTTAGTCAACACTAAGGAAAAACTCATCTGGCTTTAGCTCTGGACATAATTCTGTACCATTTTAACGACTGGGGGCAGGGAGAGATGCACACACACACTTTAAAAGCTAAGTAAAAACAAAAAACCTTGTAGACGTCCAAGTATGGTACATTTATTCAAATTGATATAGCATCTTGAGATGTCTTTCCCAAAACAGCTTTTTAACTTTTTTTTTTTTTAATCCAGACTTCCACCTTCAGAAAACAGACATCCACTCTGGATTATTTAAACTTGGAAAAACGCAAGTGTTTTCTTTGAAAAAATATCCATTGTTACAGCAAAAACTTGGGTTTCCTTTCAAGCAAGATCATATGATTACGCGTTTATATTTTACTTTCCGCAGGAATTTACACACCCCCCATTTGCATCCTGTTATTCATTTAGCGTTTCCCTTTACTTCAGCATGCTGCATTAATAAGTGGACTTGCTGGCTGAGCCTAGGCACTCAAGGTGACAATCAGTGCTCACTCTTGCATTTTTCATATTGGCCTTTTCTCACATATTTAACGACAAAAAACATTCCTTAAAAAAAAAGTTATCTGAGACGAACTGCATAGACAGATCGTGAAATTCTAACCAAGAGGATTTCAGGGAATTTTTCTTAATACTGTACTTCAAAGCACTTACTTCTCTTCTGGAGGGAAAGTTTCAACTGAAATAGATTCCACATTATTTAAGTACATTGAAGTAGCATAAGAGATCTAATTTTCAGTACTGGATCTGACATAGATTGGTTACTCTTGTTTATCTTCCCTTTAGTCAATGATTTTAGCTTTTAACAGCCTTCAGATACATACTGATTGCTAACCTGATTTGTAATCCTACAGTTCAAAGGTCTGTAAAGAAGTCGCAAGAAGCCTTTTTCTGCTAAAAAAGGTTAACACAGCTTCTACTGAAGCTATAAATTAAACTTGCTTCATCTCACATTGGTCAAAATGTCTCACACAAGATAAGCAACATCAAATTACTTCTCTTTTCACGTTTACCAGGCTTTTTTATTTTATGGGGACTACAGGAAAAATATTCTGCTGTAATGCATGTAGTATATGTACTTACTTGTTACTTGAAAAGACCCTTCCTACAAGACAAATCAAAATTCTGCTACTTAGTTCATTATAACAAATACCCTATATTCTACAGTTGTGGTCCAGTGCAGTAGCATTAGCTGCATATGTCTGTCTGATGTGGACACCATTATAATTGCATGCTACCAAGTTGAAAGCAAATAATCGGTTTTATTGCAGTCAACCTGAGGTAACAGCTCACAAGGACTGATGAAACTGATGTGCCAAGGGAACTCTCTCATTTCATGGGAACAAATATTTTCATTTGAAAAAAACCCTGCTAGAAATATTTGACCAACTCTAGCCTTGAGTAAACCCCTTACTAAGAATTATCCTGAACAAGCACAGAAATCAAGACACTTGCATGTACTCTTCAAGCAATAGAACACTGGATACAAATTTATGAGCATTACTAAGTTGAAGCCACTAGTCACAGTAACTGAGAAGAAGTGTTATGTATATCCTACGGGGAAAAGTGAATCTATCTTTGGCAGTTACGTTTCTTCAGTCCCTTCATCCACCATATGGAGTCACTATCAAGAGGCTGAAACACTAAATCTTAAACTGATGAGGACAGAGGTTATTTTCATGTCCAAACAATTTAGTAAAAAAACACTTGCAATTTAATATCAACTCTATTGCAAGTAAGACTACTCATTTAAAATTGATCAATATAATTCCATCTTCAGTACAATACTGTTAAACTTCACAGACTGATTAAAAAGAACAGTTATTTAAATACAAGCTCCCTGCTTTATTCCAGCAATGAAAAGGACCAGACTATGACTATTTCTGCTTTTGACGAAACTGGCACAAAGCCAACCATCACATCTCACCCTACAGAACAACTTGGGTAGTGAAGGAGAGTGGTGCAGCTCCTTGGCCAGGTCCGAGACAGTGTTTCTGGCCCGATTAGCCCTCTGAGCTGCTTTATTACCCTTGCCAGGGATGAGGTTAGGGAAAAACCTGCCCACACAACTGGAGAATCTCACCTTAAGCTGTCACCTTAACGCCTCATGCCCTACATGAGTCAGGGCTCGAACACAGGAAAGACTTTGCCTCTATTTCTTTACAAGTCACCTTCACAATGAACTATAGGACAGGGCACTAGCAATTGCTTTATGTCAAAACAAAGTAATTTTTGATGCATCACTCAGCAAAATATACAGCTGATGGGAACTTATATGATGTGTTTTGAACAGTAATAGTTTTATGAAGATGAGAGGTGGGGAAAAAGAAATCTCTTGAGTGCCTTTGAAAGCCTAAAGAAAAGGCCTGGAAGGCTCATTAAGGACAATACTACTTCCAAATGCAAGGCTTTGAAACACTGGTGATTTAAGTGAAATATAAGTAGTTACATTTGTTTTTCAAGAAACTGGAAAGCTTACTTTATATAGTTACATTGTATATACCCACACAACTGGATGTTCCATTAAAATACAGATATATTTAACAGTTTTAATTACTTAAACAGCTGAAATCAACCTACAGTATGAACAGAATTTTACAAGCAGTCCAAAACCAAATAAATTTCCGACCCTTACCGTCAAAAAAACTTTTGGCTCTCAGGTAACTGACGCTAAGCCGTAGTACAGACAGCTTATCCAATTTGGCGATAACATCTTGAGGGAAAGGCAGAAGGCTGGCCAAGCGGTCCAACTCCGCATTCAAGCGATCCCTGTGTCTCTTGGACGGATTGGACTTGACTCCTTCAGCTGGAGAGGGCTTTACTCTGTGGCAAAAAACCAAACACAATATAAATGTAAGTTCCTTCCCAAAATGAAGATAAATATTTGCCAAACCTAATGTCACAAATTGTCTTTTAAGCTGTAACAAGCAAAACGTTTTTCCCAAGTGACTTCTGTTTCCCACTGGAAAAAAAAAAATAAACTAAGATGGTGTAACACACACCATACCCCCCAAAACACACACACACACACACACACAGAGTTTAATGAAGCAGTTAGATCTACAATGGCTATTTGGACGCACAATGAACATATAAATTTTTTGAGATTTAGTGGTTTTTAGAAAAAGCTTTCTACACTTTCACTCAAATGTCACTTTAATTGTTCTAAATGTTCATATTACAAATAACTCAGTAACTTTTAGTACTATTCGTGTACAAATGTATTTCACAGTATATTTTTTCACTTCAATTACAATTTTTCACAGTTGTCCTTAATTTTTGCCCATGTTTGGAACAGGCTATTGTCCGTTATTGAATACGACAAAAGTTTTATTAACTTGCTAGACAATGAGGCATGCAAAACTGCTCAAAAAAACAAGAGGTACAGCTCAGTCAGCAAGTAAAATCCTTGTAGCAAACACTATTGAGCTCATCCTTAAGTCACCTCTCAGCTGAAGGCATTTCATTTGAGTACAGCACAATGAAGGCATGCCTTTGTACCTTAGAAAGTACAATATAAAAAGCTTTATGTTATAAATAACTTAATGTTTTTGTAAACTTGCTATTTTCCATTCATATTCACTCTGACCTCCAATTTCAGATCATTGGGTACTCACACCCTCACACGTACACAAAAGTCTAGGAACAGGTTTAAACCTCTACCCATTTGAATTATAAATAGTCATTACAAGCCAATACTGAAACCAAATAATTTATGTGAATAATCCATAGTAGATTTTATGATATTTATTAAACAGCTTTCAAATTAAAGACTGACTCATTCTCACTTTTCCAGTACTGCAGTTCTACTGGAGATCTACAGCAGTTATCAATTTGTGCTTCTCTCATAGGAATGTTGGTTCTGCAAGATGCATCACTCACAAAATACTGAACATAAAGACTTTCAGCAGTTAATTTCTTTAGTAATTAATTTAGTCTGCTTCCAAGCTTCATCTTTACATCAATTCTACAATAAGAATTTGCAAAAGCTCTGATAGTTATTTTTGCCACTGCTGAAAGCAAACCATCCTGAAAAATAATTTCACCTTGTATTTCCAGTCAAATAAGTAATGATAGAGTGGAATTTCCTATTTTTAGCTTCGTTTTTTTTTCTTTTATGTTTGAATTACACTTCCTGTTGGTTTAAATTTAAGCCCTTCTCTTTACAGGCATTATTTTTTCAAGCGCCACTTGTCAAAAACTCGCACTTAAGTCTGGCTGCCCATTCCCTAGCACTACAGCTGTCCCTTTGCACATTAATGGAGGCACGGTCCTTAGGCACAGCCCGGAAACGTGAAGATGTTGTAATACAAAATATTAACACACAAATACATAGTATATCAGTACCAACTACTTACTCCACAGATGGATAAAGTTAAACTTGCTGCAGAGTAAAGATTGCCTAGGACACAGTCCTAGTAGAGCCACTATAAACATTGTAAAAGCGGGGAAAACAGATGAATCAATAAAAAACCACCAATTGCAGTGAATGACAAACTAAATATTTGGTTAGATATGTGCTTCAGTTACAAGCCCTGACTTTCAGGCATGCAGCTCACCATATCCCCAAGTGAATATTAAATTTAAAATAATTTAGTAAAGCTTTCATCACATTCTCTTATTCTGGCAGAATATTCACTTGTACGAGCCATATGATTAATACAATTTAAATATCACTTCAACAACATAAGTTTGGTTCAGAATCACCAAGCATTACCAGTAACTTTAAAAGTCAGTTCATAAATATTTTTTGTGTATTGAACTGCCACAAAGGTAGAGGCAGAACAGTAAATCCAAAGTTCGGGCAGATGACAGTACTATAAGAATTAGTGAACAGCTCACAACTACCAAACCAAAACAGGTCTGCTTCTGAGGAGTGGAGGTCCCCATGAAACCAGTTCCTAACATGTGACCTTTTCCAAATAAATCAATACTAAATACCAGACTTTTCTATTTTCACAACTGTCCGCTTTGTTTAAAACTTTAGGAGAAATTTGACAAGTTGGTTGAGACTACATGCAGCAGTGCAATTCTCTCGTCAAGTTGTTAGATCTAATTGTTTTTGCTTTACTTGCAAGTGATTTCTCTTTCTTACTTCTAACTAGTCCAAAGCACGAGGATTTTCTAAATGAAGCGTGTAAAATTTCTGAATATTACATTATTGGTATTTGCAGCATAAATCTTACCATGTTCTCTCCTAACTGCTTTTCCCTAATTTTCCCCTTTGTCACTCAACTAAAATCCGTTATATAAAAATGGATCTTTCAGTGACGAAAGGAGAAGGGCGGAAATGCTGAAGGCGTAAGTAGCAAGCTAAACCATTTTCCATCCACTTATGTAAACCCTTGATACTAAAGACAGCCCTAGCTGCGTTGCAGAAAATTATCTTCGAGGAAAATTACGTGCTATGTCAAGATTAAATCCATGCATGTGTTTTATATAAAAAAGCCAAAAAACCCACAATACACTCACACTAAAGGAGAGAATGGATTTTAACCTGATCGTTCAGTTCTTGATCTTTTTACATTTTGCAGGAAATTTGAATTCCCAAATCAAAGGCCAGAGGACTCTGCACATTCAGTGCCTCTAAACTGAGCTACAATCCTTATCATCAAACAGCAGCAAGACAAGCAAGCACAGTTAATTCTTATTTTAACAATTCTAAAGAATTTGCCATCACAACATTAGCTGACTACTATTTTCACAGGTCTGCTAGACTACTTCATCAGAAGTTCTCATTACACATGCTTACCATGTGTGCCTTCACAGACATGAACAACACTAAATTATTAAAAGTGCACAAGTGCTTAAGTCTTAATTATTATCAAAAGGCCAAAATAAGTTCCAATATTTACATACTAATATGGATGTTTTTAAAGAGAAATTGAACCAAATGAGGAAAAGAAAATAAAGCACAAATTTGTTTGCAATATGACAATAAAAACTTTGAAAAGGAGGAAAACAACTCAACAATCAAGCATTGAGAAGAATGACATCTTATTAACAAGATTAAATTAAGTTAGAAAATAAAAGAATGTGCAAAAAAAGCACTAAAGATACTGGGACATCTTAAAAAAAATTGTTAAAGAACATAATTAGAAGTTCACCAGTACTGTTTTATTGCTTAGAAAAAAAGGACATAAGGAAGAATACACATTACCTAGCTGAATATATTTATTAGCTATGTATAATTTTCATCTCATATTTAATAATCCATGCAATAACATATGCTATTCTAATGTATATTATTCAATTCAATGTATATCAGATATATGAAATGCATCATTTACCACTAAGCAAGTATTACAGTAGGTGACATCATCTAAAATTCTCTATTTACTTTAGCAACTGAAAAATACTGCTAAGCATTTACTCTCTTACTTCCCACACCGAATTTAGGATTACTGAAAATTCAGCTGATAATTTCTTTCAAAAAAACAAATACAACACAGATGATCAACCTCTCTCTTGGATCAAAAGTTGCTGTCAACTGATCTTGAAGGGGCAGGAGACCGTTCCCAGTGGCTCCTTCAGCAGGCAGTGAAACCAGCAAAGATTTAGGCTGCTGAAGGCATAAAGTTGTTTTTACTAGAAAACCTCCATCAGAAGCATGTTACTCATCTGATTCTGGGCAACTTGTTTGTTCTCCAGTAGTAAACAGAGCTTTAGGTCCCTAGTCAGGATATTTTGGTGTATGAAGAATTCTATCAGAGTGACAGAGACAGTCAGAATACCAACCAAGAATCAAAGTTTCGCACTCAGTTTTAACATATTCCATTACTATTTACAAGCCAAGGCTATTTGGAAAGCAAAAAAAAAAAAAGTATGTTCCTATCTACTGACCATGTTATCTACATTTGTCTCGCCCCATTTGCTGCACATTCTCTTTCTAAAAAGTACACTTCTGTAAGAAGCACTGACCAAAACCCAACCGACCAAAAAAACTCAAACACTTTAAAACCAGTGAATTTTAAGTAGCAGTCTACATGTAAAATACAGGTACCTCAAGTCTGGCAGCATTATAATTTACACACAATAAGTTTATTCTAAATATGATAACAGCTTTATTGCCTCTATTTCAAATAAAAGGCGCAAACTGTTGTTTGTAGCAGATAACGCTTTACACAAAGGGATCTTTTAATGATTATTTTTCTTTTCTGATGAACTCCCATTGTGAAAGCTTGTTCCAGCACTTCTTGTTTAACTTGAAAGAATACATAAATATTTTCATTTGTTAAATTACAATATCTCTGCACTGCTTTCTGAAATTACTATGTCTACTCATAATTAAGGATCAACCAGTCAGACATTTTTCTCTGGAGTACTTTATAGCATAACTACATTTAAACTAACACAGAAGATGACAATATCATAATTTCTTATTTAGTCTGCTAAAGAAACATGCCATTATGCTTTCTGCACAAGCATAGTATGAAACATTTAGATCTCTCCACCCTGTTCCTTGTCTATTACATTTATCCAGTTATGCAAAACAATTCCGAGCCAAACATTGAAAAAAAAGAAAATCAATGCAAATCAGAGTTAGTAGGCAGAAAAATATAAAAACTACAAGGTGGAGCTACATTTATCTATCCTTCAACTAATGTTAGAAACTATCTGCAGTATACCCCACTTCCATAAAATCTGCATTTTATCCTTCCCACTACAATAGTAATCTATCAAATCAGCAGTTCAGTTATTATTAACTAGAGAAAAGGGACTAAAGACTAAAAAACAAAGCAGGGGTCACCCATCGCTCCCCAAGTTTCAGTGGGGAGTGAAACACCCCATGGACAGGCTGCCACCAGGGGGACTCGCAGT